CGCACAATTCACCTCGCTGTCCTTTTTTTTCTCTTTTTTTCTTTACCCTTTCTTTGTTCCAGGGTTATCATCTGTTGCAATGTAGATACCTGAGATCAAAACAGCTTAGAACACTGAGCCATTACATGGAAGAAAATTGCCCAGAGAGTCATTTGGACCCAAGGCAAACTTGGAGCAAGAAGAAAAACAAAAAGATAGAAGAAAAAAACCTTTGTTGTATAAGTCACTGAAGATTTGCATTTTATTTCTAAGGTGTATGTTTTTAATCAAACAAATCCTGATATAAATGTATGCAAATGAATATTTAAGACAAATCTCTTCCAGCGCCTACTTCCAACTAGCTGGCCACCTCTCAGCCTATTCTGAGTAGACATTCTGGAGCTGCCAATATCCCCAGACAGTCCCTCTTCAACTCTCCCCAGTGTCCATTCTCATCACCATCCACTTAGTTGCTCAATCCCAAAACCAGAAACAGGGATCATTTTAATTCCTCCCTCTGGCTGGCTCCTACAAGCTGATCACTCAGGTTTTTCTAAGTATGTCTCAAATTTGTCCTGGACATCAGCAATAGTCTTCTTTATGTTCCTGCTTCCAGTCTTGGAATATATATACCTTCAAAATCAGAAGTTAGTAAAAGGTCTACAGTAGAACTTCTGCCTCCTGCCCATCCCCCAGCCACCCAGTTTCTCTTCCTGTAAGCAACCCGAATGATCAGATGCTGTACATCCCTTGACAGCTACTCTCTGCACATAGAAACAAACAAGTCTGTGTATCTTCTCAAAGTAATCTGAAAACTCAAAACTGGCCATATTTTTCCCAGTTTAAAAGCCTTTCAACTGCTTTCCATTAAAAACTTAATTTTTAGGACACTGCATTGGCAATGTCCTCAGTCCTGCTGATCTTTCAATTCCAGACAACCCGCTTCTCAACTGAGATCTTTTCTGTCTCAAGGCTTTTACCTATACTATTTCCTCTGCTTTGACAGTTTTCCCCCAGGTCTGTGCATACTAATTCTCTTCTTAAATATTTCCTCCTCAGAGAGTGCATAGTCTATCTGCCCTGTTATTCTATGACAGAATGCTTTCCATTTGTTACTTTGAAGCCTCTACCACAAAAAGTCATATTTTTTTTTACATTTAAATAAAAAGTTTACATAAAAAGTTTATTAAATATAGGTTGCAAATGAGATACAGTAGAAATGGAAAAACTACAGCAGTTTGCTGTTTTTTCATAGTAATTCACAACCTATTCACATGTGATCTGCTGTCCAAGGATGGCCACTTGTTCATAAGTTTTACAACCACACATACAAACATCCCCATATGTAGATATTCACATATGTTTGTATATACTTATGAGTATTTGATTTTTTTCTATGATAGAATAGTACTTGATCTGCATCATTTTCTTTAAAGAAAGTGTGGATTTAGTCTCCATAAGGCTACCAGTGTTCTCAAGATATCTGGGAGGACCCTACTTTTCCTAGCACTTCTGGAGTAAGCAGGCAGATCCTTCATAAACACAGAACTACTACTCTCTTAAACAAGGGAAATGGCAAAACTACACTTCCAAGTAAGAACCTTGGTAGACTTAAAAAATATTTACACTCGCCTTTTAATAATTTACCATACAACTCTTATTAAAAGTGATTCTAAGGTTAGATAGCCCTTCCCTTTACTATTTGAAAGCATGCATGTTTTCCTAGCATACATATTTCTAAGAGTACAATATGGTACGGAAAAGTCATCTATCTAGACCCCACATCAGGTTTTTGTCTAATAGAAAATTGGCTCAGAATCACAAAGTAATTTACTGTTTTAACAGCACACAATATAAAACAAAGTGAGTTCTATCTCCCCAATATTGGTCACATATTCATAGCTGAAGAAATGACAGTGGTAACTAATAGTTCAAAAAATGAAAATTAAATAATTCAATTAGAGTATAAAAAATAGCTTAAACTGTCATATGAGTTATTCTTACAAACTTAAATTACAGATGCCATGCATAATTGAACTCCTTCCCTTCCCTGACACCGTATTGATATAAATCTTTCTTTTTTAAAGTTAAAATTCCTGAGCAACAGTTGTGCTCAAGTGTCACCTTTTAATATCACATTATTCTCAGATGTTTTTGTTCCTAGTCATGTCAATACTATTCAACTCAAGATATCCTCTTATATAGATTCCCTTGAATGAAATACTTAGTTAACTTGCTAACATAAATTGCCATCTTCAAAATCACCAGTGATTTAATATAACAATAATCTGGTATTTATAAAAATAAAATTTCCTAAGCTTAAAATTTTCTTGTTAGAAAAATTCTTCCCGCCCTGCTCTTCAATTCCCTTCCTGCCCCACTTCCACCCCTGACCTATGGATGTTACTGTTTCCCCTTAAGAATTGGATCTCTGAAGGCGGGGCATCTCCTCCCACATGCTCATGGCATGCACCCAGGGCCTGGTGTGCTAACCACTACACAATGGAACCACTTCACATGTTCTCTGTCCTGGAAAATAAAACCTGACTTTCCTGTCAAAGCAGAGGAAACAGCATAGGTAAAAGCCTTGAGACAGAAAAGATCTCAGCTGAGAAGGGGGTTGTCTGGAACCACTACACTATGGAGCACCCAGGGCGTGGTGTGCTAACCACTACGCTGTGGAGCCACCCCTGGAAAAATTCTTTTCAATCAATTATTTAGAAATGGTCAAGAGTTGCTTAGACCTGTAAAGAATGAGAGCGAACAGAATCTCTGGTGTGCATCATCTCATTTTTAGGAAGCTGTGGTCTAAACTGCTTCATGACTATAAGTGAAGACTAGGAAGACTATCACATATTAGCTCTGGACTAAACACATAAGCATCCTGTCTTCACATGTTCACTCTCCTGGAAAATAAAACCTGACTCTCCCGTATAATAGTCTGTAGTTACTATTAAATAGTGCAAACAATAGTCTAGGTAGTTCAAGCTATTCTCTGAGAGCTAAAATAAAGTTTTTGAAAAAGAACAGAAATAGGACTTCTGTGTATGTGAAGATTGGGGAGAAGAAACATTATCTTCTACTGCTCTTCATTCTGTCCCCTTCGAACTTAGACTCTGAAAAAAACTTGTGAAAAAAGACACTGGCTCTCTTTGAATGCTGAATTTTCAGGGGCTCCAGAACTTCCAGGTAAATCTGCATCTTAGCTTTTCACTCGCTCTTCCTCCTTGTGGCACTGCTCCCTAGTCATCATATATCTATTGGGATGTTTATTGGCCACCTCCCACATTAGACTAAAAGTTCCTTGAGAACAAAGATTGTGTCTGTTTTGTTTACCACTCACTGTATACCCAGGCTCTAGTTCTGTGCCTGTCACAAAATAGATGCACAGTAAACACTTGCTGAATGAATGAACAAAGAACTGATAGAAAACTTAGTGCCTTGAAAAACAAAAACAAGGGCATATGAATCTCAAAAGCGAAACTAGCCTCAATTATTTAAGTGGCAAATTTGGCCTTTATATTGTTTCTCCCCTGGGTATAGATTTTTCATCCTGTGCTTCCTCATACTGTGGCTGGCTGTGTCTCTGGTTAGGCCAACCACTCAATAAAGAAAGGAGGAGATGAAGAATGAGAAGAGCATCATTCTCAAAGGTTCAAGACCTTGAATTCTTTGGGAGAAGGTCACAGCAAACAGAGCACTCATTTGCCAGAACTTGTATTCTGTCAGACATTTAATAGCTGGCTTAAACAGAAATATTAAACGATTACTTCTTCCTTTGTTTTATGGACCAAAAATCTTTTTCGTTTTACAAGCAGGTAAAACCAGAAAAGACAATGACTCTTACATTGAAATAGCAACATGTTTATAAGAAAATATTAACTCCACAATCTCAAATCAGTATCTATTTCTGCCTTAAATGCTTTAATACTGCATATATTTTCCTAATTATAAAAGTAATGCCTCATATCATTATGGATAATAGAATACTAAAATTGTCTTTAAAAGGATAAGCGAAGGAAATAAAAATCACATCCACAGAACAAGCTTTCTATTTCTAAATCACAAAATCTAACATGTCTGTGTTCATCTGTTACGCTCTCCTTGGAAACTAAACAACAAAAGCTTCATTCATTTCTACTTTAATTTCACCTTCTGAATTTATTTCTAGGTATCCAGGTCATTTGACTGGATTAGCTAGGTAATGTAACCCAGCAATTCTGCCCTTGTCTCCTACCAGAGTAGAGGGTAAAATCCTTGTTGCGGAGACGGTTTGGAAGAAGAGTCGGAGTCTGGAAATGTTTAACTTACATGGATAAGAGAGAGGAGGATTGGCAAAGCTAGCATCCCCAACCCCCGTCTCCGTGGCCTTTTATTAAGTTTCACAACAATGCTAGCTTTGTAATTTAGTAATAGGTACTATCAGGTTAGTAGATACAAGCTACAGCCAACTCCCAGATTCAGCCTCAAAGCCACCTCCGTGTTCTCAGCTATTTCCTCTCAAGTATCTTTTTCTTATCCTCTTATGTTTTTTTTTCTAGTCCCTAGAGCAAGAAGTCTCAGAATCGGTCAGGCGTATGCGCCCTCCCTGCAATGTGTCCTTGTGTGCAAGTCCACGTTTGCTTCCATTGTTCTTGTTGCTCCAAGCACCAGACATCCTGCCAGGACCGCAGGCGTCTCTTACAACATACCCCCCTTTTCTTTTTGCTGAATTTTATTCAACATTACTGAGAACACAGCGGCCTGAGTCTTTCTTAATCCTTGGCTTCTTAAGAATCTCTTCCAGACTAGACAAAGAAGAACAAGTAACAAACAAATTACTATCCAAGAAGCAAAAATGAACTTATTAACCCATGAATTTTTAGAATAGGATTTAAATCTTTAATACCATCAACCATGCTTTGTAGCACTGCGATCCCCTGTAATTCAGGAAGCTGTTTTTGAAAAGTGTCAGCAATATGTGTTTGTAAGTCTGTAATTTAACTTGAAGCATTACCATACCCCAAAATATGCTGTCTTACTTTATCCCATTCAAACATACTTTCATTATATGGTACAGGAGTTATAAAAAAGGAAGTTGTATTCCAATCACATTTAAGTTGCACCCGTTTCTGCAAACTAACAATTTGATCTCCTAACAATATAACTGCTTGCTGTAAATCTGCCACTTGACTCTGCAATACAGAGTCAATTTGTCTTTGAGAAGTCCATAATTGTTCAGCATCCTGATGCCAGGTTCTAACATATTCAGCAGTCTGTACAGATTGATGTAGAGTCACTCCAGCCACAGCAGCAGCAGCAGTAACAGCGATGATACCCACAATAGCAGCAATCAACATGCCAAGGAATCTTTTAGCTCTTCTTTTAACATGGTCCATCAGTTGCTGCAATATCATAGTGGCAGGGGAGTCCTGCCAGGGTTGAGACAATTTAACCGGCATCCATACTCCAGTTCTAGCTCTAAGAATATATAAGCTTTCGTATGATTTGTTAAAAGGAATAGAAGAGTTAATACAAGTATAAAAGGAACAGTTTTCACATGAAATATAACCTAAAGTTTCATTCCACTCCAGCAAAATGAGTAACATTTTGATGAAAGGTGATATGAGAAGAATTCCCAGATTGATTTATGGAACCCTTCCAGGCATGCATGGGAAATAAAGCAGCCCCTAACTTCCATATATGATTCCATAGCCCTTGATGGGGTAGTTGGGGAGATGGAGGGGAAAACCCTCCATTATGCCAGATGACTCTGTTATTGCAAGTTCCATCTGATGAAATGCTAACTGAACCATTCTCTACCTTTCAGTGCCACCGCAAATTTACACTTTCTCTTTTTGCTCGGGCAGAGCCAGAAGGACTCCAACCAATGACTCTTCCATAGGAAGTATTAACCAAAACCCAAGCCTATTCAGCTCAACACTGAGTCTACTGAACCCAATGTTCAAGCGTCTGAACCTTCGGAGTAGCACACAACAGTAAATCAGGTGGAGAGGCGTCATCCACAGGTTCTGTAACATTTTTAAATCCCTCCATACTTAACAAAAACAAGTGACCTAACTAACATCTTAATTTTTCTGCCTCTTCCCTACATTATTTTCCGTCGGAGATTTTATCCCTTAATCTTAAAGGGATGTTGAGGGAGGAAGGTCTCTCTTCTGTAACTTGTTCAAAGCTGAGATAGGGCTATAGTCCCTGCCTACTGGGAATAAAAATCTCTGAAAGCCTATTCTAAGGCCCCCAGAGGCAGACGATGTGAGGTCATTCCAGCATGTAGAAGTGGTAGGAAGCCTCGCAACCTAGAAGATATAAACTTAGCAAAAATATAGAAAAGACAAGTCAAAATTAATAGTAGAGGTAATTGATAACGAAGTTACTTTCTCATGATAGTTTGTTAATTCAAGGTACACAAAAGTTCCTGATTTCCTGGGACACGTGGACTTATCTAGTTTCCAGAACAAGAGCTTAAGATCTTCTATGGGTTCACAGGAACAGGTTGTACTTTCTGGTTTATTTTCTGAAGGAACCTGTGAGGACTCATAAGAAACTTGGTTAATTTAAGATAAATGTACCTAATTGTTGATTCCTTGTAATTTGACAGTAGTTGGGAACTTAACAAAACTTGGTAGAGCCCTTTCTGTTTGCCTTGAGGGCTGACTTTTTATTCCTGTCACCATGTAGTTAGCATTGGAGAGAGGCCTGTGGGATGGGTCAGGACAGAGTAGGTAGCTCTAGTATCTAGAAAAAAATTTAGTTTTCCCTTCTTGCCATGTCGAGGGTGACCTGAGGTTCCACAGTTGTGATCATGGTGGATTTTTTTAACTGGAGCTTGGAAGTGCTTGAGCCTCCACTGTTGGAGGAGAGAGCAGCTCCTGGAGGATTTCGCTCAGCGTTTCTATGAGCCACCTGTTGGGCTTCCTCTCTCCACCATGTTTTCATTTGCAAATAAGGACCTGGCTCTAACACAGTTTTTATTATAGTCTCCCAATCTAGCACTAACAATTGTTGTTCTGTGGCTATACTACTAAAAAGACCTGTCACATAAGTGGACTGTATACCATATTGATTGATAGAGTCTCTAAGTATTCTCAAGAATTTATGTTCCAATGGAGTATAGCGCACATTGATACCCCCCTGAGGATATTGAGCATCTGGGGGAAACGCCTATCTCACTACAGGGTACCCCATCAGCTAAGGAGTAGCTGTCCGTCTAGGAAAATTTTCTCGATTACTTTCTTCATCTATTATTTCCCTAGTCAACTCATGTGATAACTGAAGAGGGAGAGGAAAAGTAAATGGAACAGCTCAGCCCCATATAGAGTATGCGCAGGTGATGCAGAAGGCTTTCTAGGTTCTTGAGAATATCCTCCAATTTGCCCCAATTGCAGTTGCTTCACCTTTTGATCGATTGCCTTTACTTGGGCCAAAAGAACCTGATATGGCCCTTCACTAGGAGGAATGTGGTCTACGCATTCCTCTTCAGATGAAGACTCAGTAGATTCCTCTTGCTCATTTTCAGACACTATTCCTATAGGATTTTGATAAGCAAGTTCTTTCGACCCAGGCTGAGAGAACGGAGGCATGGGCTGTTTGGCAACAAACCCATCAGATTCATATCCTTGATTGGCCATTCCTCCCTGGCGTATTGCAAAGTCAGTTGCAGTGCCCTCAGAGTCAGATTGCAGAGGATGTAAAGACTGAGAAATTAAAGTGCATAAGTACCAAACAGAAACAGGGATGGGATCCCCTCGTTGATGAGCTCTCTGCAAAGCTCTCATAACTTGTTTCCACACTTTAGCATTTAATTGGGATTTCCTTCTGGCTTGAACCAGTAGCAATGCCTACCTACATGCAAAAACAATTCATGAAATTGACGTTTCTTCACTTTTACTCCTGAAGACAACAATAAATGTTGCAATAACTTAATGTACTGGGCCTCCACATTTGACGGAGAATTCCCCATGATAAAATTATGCCGAAGGTATCGCTTACCTGTGAGCAGACTTACCCCTTCGGTTTCCAGCATAGTTCTGCACCCTCTTCTTCATGCCTCACGTTGGGCGCCACTTGCTGCGAAGATGGTTTGGAAGAAGAGTCGGAGTCTGGAAATGTTTAACTTACATGGATAAGGGAGAGGAGGATTGGCAATGCTAGCATCCCCAACCCCCGTCTCCGTGGCCTTTTATTAAGTTTCACAACAATGCTAGCTTTGTAATTTAGTAATAGGTACTATCAGGTTAGTAGATACAAGCTACAGCCAACTCCCAGATTCAGCCTCAAAGCCACCTCCGTGTTCTCAGCTATTTCCTCTCAAGTATCTTTTTCTTATCCTCTTATGTATCTTTTTCTAGTCCCTAGAGCAAGAAGTCTCAGAATCAGTCAGGCATATGCGCCCTCCCTGCAATGTGTCCTTATGTGCAAGTCCACGTTTGCTTCCATTGTTCTTGTTGCTCCAAGCATCAGACATCCTGCTAGGACCACAGGCGTCTCTTACAACACCTTGTATACTGTGGTATACAAGGTCCCACATAATCTGGCTCCATTTCATCTCCTGGCTTCATTTCTCACCACTTCCCTTTCCCACTGAATTGAGAACTTCCTAGAGAAAGCTCATAAGCTCACAGGTATGTTCAAATGGTCCAGACATCTCTTATTCACCCAAAAAAGTCTCCATGTCAGAGTATAGAAGGATGCCCAGGCCTCCTTTTGTACGTGACGTAGGCTTGGGAGAATGGATTAAAGCAGCAGTCCTCAATCTTTTTGGCACCAGGGACAAGTGTTCCTATGAGAACCTAATGCTAGATGATCCGAAGTGGAGCTGAGGCGGCGATGCTAGCACTGGGGAGTGGCTGCAAATACAAATGATGCTTCGCCCACTTGCCCGCTGCCCACCTCCTGCTGTGCAGCCCAATTCCTAACAGGCCATGGACCAGTACCGGTCTGCGGTCTTGGGGTTGGGGTCTCCTGGGTTAAAGGATCCTGATGTGCTAGATTCACCACAAATTGATGAGCTGGAAAGTGAATTCACCTGGAAAGGGTAGGGTTGACTAATTTGATCAATTTGCAGAGATCAGAGCTCGTCCTCAAGTGTATAGATAGCAATGCCACCTAGTTCACAGGTGCCTTGAAGAGAGTGGCAGTGAACCCAATCTGTCCCCGCCAAATCTATGTGTTGAAACCATAATCCCAAAGTTGTGGTCTTCGGGGCCTTTCGGGAGGTGATCAGTTCAAGAGAATGGAGCTTTCAGGATGAGATTAGCGCTCTTATAAGAAGAGCAAGAACACAACCCTCTGTAAACCAGGAAGAAAGCACTCACCAAGAACCTGACCATGGGGCACACTGATCTCAGACTTCTAACCTCCAGAACTGTGAGAAATAAATGTCTCAGCTACATGGTCTGTGGTAATGTGTTATAGCAGCCTGAACTGAGACAACAGCCACACCTAGTCTCTCTCTTGAAGTATCTGCCAACTTGCAGAGCTGGTTGGTTAAGGACTTGTACCATTCTTTTACATCTAAAGGGTGACCTGTATGGCCTAGACCCCCTATAACCGGGATAGTAATGAATAAAAATGGAGAAAATTGCAAACATTCTAAAATAAAATATTAGGTGCTCAACTTATCCTGGCCATAGGAAGTACATTATGAGAGGTGCTCTTTCAATTCAGAATGTCCCTCTTCAGCTACAAGTCTGGGGTGGTGTGATGTGGAGAGCTATATCTGCACTTGCAGTGCTTTTTAAAAGGGGCCCTCAGAAGAAGTCTTGTGCCGATGGTACAGTTAAGCATCTTGATTATGGTGATGTTTACATGAAGCTATACTCGGAATAAAATTGCATAGAGCTACACACACACACAAATGAGTGTATGTGTAACTGGTAAAATGTGAGTAAGTTCTATGGTTTGTGCCAGTGCTAATTTCCAGGGTTTTATGTTGTACTGTAGTTACACCAGATGTTAGCATTGGGGGAGGCTGGGTGAAGGGGGCGTGGGAACCTTGCCGTATAGTTCTTTGCAGATTCCCATGAATTGATAATTATTTCAAAATCCGAAGTGGTTTTTTTCTGTTTTTTTTTTAAGGGGGAGGAACTCAATACTGGAGTACTTGATCTAAAATATAGAATAGTGCATTGGAGATGGTCTTTAAGCTAGAAGATCCTGTGCAAAATCAGTTCCTCTGCCTCAAGGCCCAAAGATATTCCTGAAGAAAAGGATAAAGTGGGCTACCTCAGCCAGCAGATTCAAAATGAGTATTGGCCTGAAAAGCCCAAGAAACTCTGCAAGTTTTATACGCTGAGATAACTGCCATTCTCAAACCAGGGTGGCCTTTAATCAACATTCAGTCCTTCAACAATATTTATTAAGTACCTACTGTGTGTCTGGTACTCTTCACTCTTCTTAGGATAAGTCCAAGAGTAAAAGAACCCTGCCGTAGTGAAGCTTGCGTGCTAGCATTGGGGAGGAGGCGGGGAGAGAAAATAATTAGTGAATTAAAGAACATTCTAGAACGTGATAACTATTATGGGGGAAGAAAATAGAACCAGGTAAGGGGGACCAAGAATCAAGAGATAGTATAGTGTGTGGGAGAGGAAATATTACTAAATTCTCTGAGTTCTTAAATGATATGATTGTATTGAAATTAATACTCTATTTGAATTTTCTTTACCCACTATGAAATCTTCTCAGCATTCCTTTCTACTTCTTTTAGATTTCTTCTCTCTTCTATTCATCCTTTTATTTTAACCTAACTTTTTTCTCTTTCTTCATTAATCCACCCTTTCTTATAACTCTCCCTTCTCTAATGCCATCAGTGAGGTGGTTTTTTTTTTTTTCACCTTTGTTTGTTTTTCTGCTTCTTCCCTTTGACTCTCTTTTCCTTCCTTCCTCATTATTTTTATTTTTCTCTCTCTTTCATTCTTTCTGGCTATTTGTCATTATGTGTGTGTGTGTGTTTTGTTTTGTTTTTTTTTATGGAATTGAAGTTCCTGTAATTAATGTGGCATTTGTTACATTGTTGTATTGTTAACTTGATGGATGCTTTCCGTTCTAATTATTTTTTATTTAGTTTCAAGTATACAATACATTGGTTAAACATCTATATAGTTCATAAAATGATCTCCCCAATTGCACCCTCCCTCCCCTGACCCTCCACCTAGGCAGTGTATTAATACTAAATGCATTCCCTATGCCATGCTCCCCATTCCCGTGACCATCCATCAGCTACTAATTTGTACTTCTTTAGCCCTTCACCTCATTCTCCCAGCCCCCCAAACCCCCTACCCTTTGTCTGTCACCAAATTGTCCACTATATTTTGTGAGTCTGTTTTACTAATCAGTTTGTTCTTTTTATCCCTTAGATTCCACATATAAGTGAAATCATATACTGCTTATCTTTCTCTGTCTGACTTAAATACTTTCTAGGTCCATCAAAGCAATATCTTTTTCTATCTCCTTCCTTTTCATATGTAGGGGTCTTGTTTTCTTATCCTTTCAGCCACTCTATCTTTTGGTTGGAGCACTTAATTCTTTTCCATTTAAGGTACTTATTGATAGGAATGTAGTTGTTACCATTCCTTATTCCTGTTTTTGGTAACATGTTTTTTCTTCTTAAAGAAGTCCCTCCAACATTTCCTGTAATACTGGCTTGGTGGCGATGAATTCCTTTAGCTTATTTGTGTCTAGGAAGCTCTCTATCTGCCCTTCCACTCTAAATGATAGCTCTGCTGGATAAATGATTCTTGGTCGTAGATCCTGGGTCTTCATCCTGTGGAATATTTTTTGCCAAGCCCTTCTGTCCTGCATAGATTCTGCTGAGAAATCAGCTGCCAGTCTTAGGGGTTTGCCCTTATATGGAATTATCTGTTTGTGTCTTGCTGCTTTTAATATTT